GGAGGTGCCTCAGCAGGTGTGAGAGGGGAGGTACCTCAGCAGGTGTGAGAAGGGAGGTGCCTCAGCAGGTGTGAGAGGGGAGGTGCCTCAGCAGGTGTGAGAAGGAGTAGCCTCAGCAGGTGTGGGAGAAGGAAGGTGCCCCAGCAGGTGTGTGAGGGGAGGTGCCTCAGCAGGTGTGAGAAGGAGGTGCCCCAGCAGGTGTGAGAGGGGAGGCACCCCAGCAGGTGTGTGAGAAGGGAGGTGCCTCAGCAGGTGTGAGAAGGAAGGTGCCTCAGCAGGTGGAGAGGGGAGGTGCCCTCAGCAGGTGTGAGAAGGAGGTGCCTCAGCAGGTGTGAGAGGGGAGGTGCCTCAGCAGGTGTGAGAAGGGAGGTGCCTCAGCAGGTGTGAGAGGGGAGGTGCCTTACAGTGATGGACGGTGTGGTCCGCTACAGCTCTACATACTACAGTTTCTACTGGCAACCTTGCCAGGGCGACACCACACACCCACACACTCTCGCTCACACTTCATTTCTCTTCACTTCTCCACCGCCTCCCAGATCAACCCCGGCGATTCTGTCATCTTTATAAACCGATATATGGAGGTTTTGATAAGTTTGATAGATATACCAGGTTATGATGATAGATACCATTTGAAAAAGACTTTGTGTGTGTGTTTAGACGAGCGATATTAAGTGGAGTAAACCAAGGTAAAGGTGTGTGTGTGTGTGTGTGTGTGAGAGAGAGAGAGAGAGAGAGAGAGAGAGAGAGAGAGAGAGAGAGAGAGAGACACGCTGTAACCTCGCTCGAATCTTTCCGGGGCAGAGAAACAGTAACTTATAGTCTGCCAGCTGTTGACCAAGGCTGTCTCAACCCACCAGCCCTCACGGCTCCTCCCCATACTGTACTATGCTACCCAGTGTCTAGTTAGGCTCAATCATTGCTATCACCCCGTGTTAAGATATCTCTAGACGGTGATATATCAAGGTGTTATATTTTATGTGAAAATTTCTCACTTAACCTTCGAATTTATAGCACAAATATGTCTTATATCACAAGGGTGTACCTGGTTTTGAGATATTTAACTGAGAGATATTTTGTTTTAATTACAGGTGTATATTTGGGCAGTGTTGATGACATTATTGTTGTAAGTATAATATTTGGTAGGTGGTAATGGTGGTTGTTGTGGTAGTGGTGGTGGATGGTTGACGTATGGGTGGTTATGGTTGATGTGTGGGTGGATGGTGGTAATGGTTGTAGGTGGCAGATTATGGAGACTTCGCTTTCGATAATTACAAAAACACCGAAAACGACAAAGACAAAATTACCGAACACAACAAAAACAGAATTATCGAAAACAACAAAGACAGAATACCGAAAACAACAAAGACAGAATACCGAAAACAACGAAGACAGAATACCGAAAACAACAAAGACAGAATACCGAAAACAAACAAAGAATACAAACAAAGACAGAATACCGAAACAACAAAGACAGAATACCGAAAACAACGAAGACAGAATACCGAAAACAACAAGACAATGCTGAAAACAACAAAGACAGAATACCGAAAACAACAGCAGCTACCAATATCAATCAGAACGAGTATTATTTAGGTAACTCGTATATTTGATAACGTTTGAGGGCGATTGTTTGATGATGTATAAAACGTTTTGTGCGACGAGGAAAGACATACATTGATTAGTGTAAGTTGTTAATTGATGTCATCTCCTTCCCTTTTTTCTCCCTTTCTCCCATTTTTTCCTCCTTTTCCTTCCCTCCTTCCCTTTTCCTTTTTTCCCTCCTCCTCTCTCCTCCTTCCTTTCTCTCCCTTCCTTTCTTCCTCTCCCTTCCCTTTTTCTTCCCTTTCCTTCCCTTTTCTCCCCCTCCTCCCTCTCCCTCTCCCTTCCCTTTCCTCCCCCTCCTTCCCCTCCTTCCTCCTTCCCTCCTTCCCTCCTCCTCCTCTCCCTCTCCCTTCCCCTTCTCTCCCTTGTTTATGGTGCTTCATAAACTTACCGAAGAAGTGAGAGTTTATATTTATTATTTATTTTATTTACTTAAGAAACTATTATTTTATCCTTATTATTTAGGCCTGTTTTTCATTTCGTATCAAAGCACCAAATTTCAACATTGGCTCTGAGATAGTGTGTGTGTGTGTGTGTGTGTGTGTGTGTGTGTGTGTCATGTTGACGTATTACACCGTACAGAGAGCTTTGTTTAGGTCGACTGTATTACAACTGTATATGAACTTTAAAAAAAAAACAACCTTATTTGCATTTTTAGAAATATTTCAATTTTACTGTTAAATAATCTTAGTTTAGTTTAGAGAATCGAAAGTTAGTTTTAAGACACAAAAAGAAAATATTGGTGACTCAGAATAGTCAAATTTATGTAAAGCAAGATAGTAAATAGTTAATAGGTAATAGTAAATAATCAATAGGTAACTAGTCAATAGTTCTTGGACATACATAGAAGACGAAGGTAGAGATAATTACTAGAGAGAAGTAAGGGTGGTAGGGAGACATGGGGAGAGTGCTACGGTGGGGGAGACATGGGGGAGGGTAAAGCTGGTAGAGTATACGGGGAGTAAGTAAAGTGGTAGGGGAGCATAAGGGGAGAGGTGCTGGTGGTGGGGAGTATACGGGGGAGTATGTGCCGGTGGTAGGGAGCATACGGGGAGTATGTGATGGTGGGGAGCATGGGGGAGTATGTGCCGGTGTGGGGAGCATACTGGGAGACAGCTGGTGGGAGACACAGGGGAGAAGTAGTGGAGAGTATAGCTGGTAGGGGAGATATGGGGAGGCAGCCATGGAGTATACGGGGAGTATGTGTCGGTAGGGAGTATGCTATGGTGGGGAGTATACGGGGAGTAGCTGGTGTGGGGAGTATAAGTGGTGGAGGAGATGTTGGTGGAGGGGAGACAAGGTCGGGGAGTATGTGCCGGTGGAGGGGAGTAGCCGGTGGTGGGGGGTATGTGCCAGGAGGGAGTATGCCGGTGGAGGGGAGGCGTGGCTGGTGGAGGGAGTGCTGGTGGAGGCAAGTGCTGGTGAGTATGTGCTGGTGGTGTGGGAAAGTCGGTGGGGAGTATGTGTGGTGGGGAGAGGCCGGTGGTGGGAGTATGTGCTGGGGAATATGTGGTGGTGGGGAGGGAAGGTGGGGAGTATGTGCGGTGGAGGGAGTCATAGGGAGGAGAAGCTGATGAGGGGAGTATGTGCTGGTGGAGGGAGAGTATGTGTCAGGGAGTATGTGCCGGTGGTGGGAGTATGTGCCGGTGGAGGGGAGTATGTATGGTGGAGGGGAGCAGTTGTGGTGGGAGTATGTGCCGGTGGAGGGGAGTATGTGCCGGTGGAGGGGAGTATGTGCCGGTGGTAGGGAGTATGCTGTGGAGGGAGTATGTGGTGGAGGGGAGCAAAGCGGTGAGGAGCCTGGAGGGAGTAGCCGGTGGAGGGAGTATGTGCCGGAGGGGAGTATGTGCCGGAGTCGTTTAGATATTGTTATAATGGCTCTCAGTGTCTGATGGTCGCGTAACCTCCGCTATGATTCACTAGCAGGTGTCTCGTCTGATGTTGTCTTGTTAAGATGAGGCCAGCCCGACACCACACCTTGGTCAGCACTGGTCTACTGTGGTACATAATTGGTCTTAGGTTGGTTTGATGACGCAAGAGTGGTGACCCTCATCTTCGTGCTCGTGGTCCAGCCCCCTCATTGGTGATACAAGAGTGGTGACCATCTTCGTGCTCGTGGTCCAGCCCCTCATTGGTGATACAAGAGTGGTGACCCTCATCTGTGCTCGTGGTCCAGCCCCTCAGTGGTGATACAAGAGTGGTGACCCCATCTTCCCTGCAGTGGTCCAGCCCCTCAGTGGTGATACAAGAGTGGTGACCCTCATCTTCCTGCTAAGGGTCAGCCCTCAGGATACAAGAGTGGTGACCCTCATTCTAGTAGTGGTCCAGCCCCTAGTGGTGATACAAGAGTGGTGACCTCATCTTTTCAGCTAGTGGTCCACCCTCAGTGGTGATACAAGAGTGGTGACCCCTCATCTTCCTGCTAGTGGTCCAGCCCCCTCAGTGGTGATACAAGAGTACCTCATCTTCCTGCTAGTGGTCCAGCCCCCTCAGTGGTGATACAAGAGTGGTGACCCCTCATCTTCCTGCTAGTGGTCCAGCCCCCTAAGTGGTAATCCCAGCTAGTTTTGTTAGACTGGTGGTCCGGGACTGGTGACCCGGGGGAACCTGTTTGTAAGGTGGCGTGAGACCTGGCACTCGGCAGTCCTTTCAAAAGACTTTTCTAAAGTCCCGTTGGGTGTCCCTGCACCGCCAGGGTCAGCAAGTTGTACGTGGCGTGTTGCGGCATTACTTCCTCCTCCCCGCCTCCTGCAGGATGCTTTACCACACGTCCTGCACCTCACTGCCCTCACAACCACAGTAGTTACTCGGGAATTGTAGAATCTGTTAGTTTACATGTTCATTTTGGAGATGCAGGGCGCCAATTTGAATAACGTGAATTATTGAAGAACGAATCCATAGCATGCAAAAGTGTAAAAGTTAAAAAGAAATCATAAATATGTGTGAATATGTGAAAAATTAAATTTCCCTCCACACAGTGAGTGACCAAGGACTCCAGCCAGACAAAACACCAGGTTCGTACCTAAGAGCAGAGTGGACTGACTCATGGCGAGGAACCTTTACTCAGTGTTGGGGCATGTGAGACTCCCTCCGTCAGACGTGAGGAGTGTGTGATGGGAAGTGGCCAACATGGGCCTCTGTTTACCAGGAAACAACAACAATGGGCGATGTCTATAAGAGACGACTAAACTTTGAGTGCATGCAGGCAGTGTGTTTACTGTTGGGATATCGGAAGCTAACAGTAAATGAGAAATAAGAATACTGAAGAGAAGGTCAACATGTTTGTTATACACAGTCTCACAGCCTGTGATCTGAGGAGTCTGATAACAGTCGGTCTTCAGGTTATTAAGTTTAAATATTGTGTCTAGAAGGAGAGAGATCTGGTGTTGGGGTCTTACCTCTGTCTCTGATGGTGAGCGAGAGCGGCTTGTCGTCAGGCTGTTCCTCCAGACGTCGTGAGGGAGAGTAGCGCGAGGTGCGGCTGCTGGGACTGACGGATCTTTCTCCCTCATCTCTCACCCATACGTAAATCCAGGGAGCTCTCTCTCTCCATATCAAGGTAGGCATCTCTTGATAGCTCGAGGCGGCTGTCCGTGACAAGTCGAGGCGGCTGTCCCGTGACAAGTCGAGGCATGTCCCGTGACAAGTCGAGGCGGCTGTCCCTTGACAAGTCGAGGCGGCTGTCCCGTGACAAGTCGAGGCGGCTGTCCCGTGACAGGTCGAGGCGGCTGTCCCGTGACAGGTCGAGGCGGTTGTCCCGTGATAGTTCGAGGCGACTGTCCCGTGACAAGTCGAGGCGGCTGTCCCGTGACAGGTCGAGGCGGCTGTCCCTTGACACCAACACGACTGTCTCGTGACAGGTCCAGCCGACTGTCCCTTGACAAATCTAGGTGACTATCCCGTGACAGGTCGAGGCGGCCAAGATGAGCGATACTGTCTTTCCTGAGGTCGATTGATGACGGTGTAGTGTCCATGTGGGATATCCGGTGAGGTCTTTCCCTTCGCAGGTCGAGTGGAGGGGAGCTTGAGAAGGACGAGCTGTGAACGTCCACATGTCGGCTGCGGTCGTCATCTTGGGGTGCTCCCGCCTTCTGTGCTTCCAGGAGCCTTGCCTGCTGCTGCTGCAGGCGGTCCTTGATTAAGAAAATCTTGGGCATCTTGATAACACTGAGCTAACACCAAAACAAATTATATTAAAAATTCCTTTAAAAACTCTAAGTCTTAAGCCTCTGTCATTCACTGCATTTCAGCGCTTGAAGTCAACACTGTCACTGAACAGGTCCGCACAAGTTTACACTCGAGGACAAACTAAGTGGTGTGGGCAAGTACGGCAGCTTAAGTCTTATAGAGAAGCTGCTCTTGTGGGTGCAGAAGCACCACACAGCACCAAGGATTGTGAGTGTGGCTCCAGGCATAGACTTGAGCTACACAAGTGTGGTAGTATTAGTGAAAGTGGCCGCTAGAACCTCCCGCTTAACTCCGCGCATGCGCACGTCGCCTACCTGGCCTGTCGCCATCCTCTCTTCTTTATCATCTTTTAAGTTATTTACTGTGGCCGCACTATGGTAATATTTATCAGGACAAATTATTCAAGAAGACACGTCCTTTAACCTTAGCCATGTCTTGAAGTCTGTTAATGGAAGCTTAATAAATTAAATTAACAGAGCACACTGACACCTCAACACATAACTGTCCTGTGCAAATAAATGAATTATACACCAAATATTGCTGCACCTATAACTGTAAAATTTTTGACATTCATAGGCAATTAATCTTAGCGTCACGTGAACGGTGTTTAGAAGGTGCCAGGCGAGGCAGTGGGGACAAACAAAGTAGAGTAACACACCTTAGCGGCACTTCTGCATCTATTCTCGGGCCTGTTTTTTTCCTCCCTTCTCCCTCCCCGCCCCCCTCCCGCCTCACTCCCCCTACGCCCCCTCCCGCCTAACCCTCCCGCCCCACTCCCTCCTGCCTCACCCTCCTCCCTCCGCCCCTCCCGCCGCACCCCTCCTGCCCCACTCTCCCTCCCTCTTCGACCTCCCCACCCCCCCCCTTCCCCATCCCCAACACCTTGTCTCACCTCGTTCCCTGTATTAATGATCAAACTGAGACATTTCTGAGAGTTCATCCACGACCTGTCACTGCCCAGAGAAATGATGCACACACACACACACACACACACACACACACGCAACACACACACACACACACACACACACACACACACACGCACATACACACACAAAACATACCGGATAAGTTAATTTGTGGTCACGAGATGTTATCCGATTTGATCACGGGTGTGGCAGATACTTCTGTCGGTAGAAGCTGTTAACCCGCCAGGCCTCTTCCTGGTGTGCCAGGTGAACTTGTGTTTGACGCAGAACGCACCCCTATTATGACGCAGTACTGTGGAACCCTATTATGATGCAATGTTATAGGACGCACCTCTATTATGATGCAGTGTTATAGGACGCACTTCTATTATGATGCAGTGTTATAGGACGCACCTCTATTATGATGCAGTGTTATAGGACGCACTTTATTATGATGCAGTGTTATAGGACGCACCTCTATTATGATGCAGTGTTATAGGACGCACTTATTATGAGATGTTTATAGGACGCACTCTATTATGATGCAGTGTTATAGGACGCACCTCTATTATGATGCAGTGTTATAGGACGCATTTCTATTATAATGCAGTGTTATAGGACGCACCTCTATTATGATGCAGTAAGGAGTAGGACTTAATACAGGACAACTCATTATGATGCAGTGTTATATGATGCACCTCTATTATGATGTAGTGCTATAGACGCATCCATATTATGATGTAGTGCTTTATGACGCATCATTTCGACGCCTCTTTATAACGCCCTTCTATTATGATGCAGTGCTGTAAGACGCACCTTATTGTGACGCAGTGCTATAGGACGCACCTCATACATGATGCAGTGCTATAGACGCACTATTATGTCGCAGTGCATAGGATGCACTCTATTATGATGCAGTGCTGTAAGACGCACCCCTATTATGACGCAGTGCTATAGGACTCCCATCATTGTATGACGCAGTTATAGACGCGCCCCTATTATGATGCAGTGCTAAGGACGCACCTTCATTATGTCGCATAGACGCACCATGACGCAGCTATAGACGCACAGACGCTGCAAGGACGCGCCCCCTCCATGATGCAGTTATAGGACGCGCCCTATTATGACGCAGTGCTATAGGACGCACCTCATTAGGACTGGGCAACTAATTGACTAACCAATTGCATCAAGCATGGTGTGTGTGTGTGTGTGTGTGTGTGTGTCTGCCTCTCTGTTCTAGACATCTTTGTAACGACACTTCTACAAGTTGGTAATATTATTCAATGAAACATATCTCAAGCCACTAGATACACACACACACACACACACACACACACACACACACACACACACACACACACACACACACAGTGAGATTGAGGGTTTATCCTATTTGTCCCCCTCCCCCCCAATCCTGTTGAGCCTAAGTTCTGGGTTTAGCTTCAGTTTGGTTAGAAGTTAGGTTAGGTTAGGTTAGGTTAGGTTAGGTTAGGTTAGGTTAGGTTAGGGCAGTATGAACCTGAATGCTGACGATTTCGAGTTGTTTTAGTAATGATGGAGGGCGTCTGGCAGGGTAGGTGGTGATGGATGTCGGAAACATAAGGTAGTAATCTTACTTGATGGTCATTGTTGGTAAGGGAAGGAAACTCCAGGTGGGAGCGTGAGCTGTTCTCCTGGGACTTTTAGTTATGTCCCATCCAGGTGTTGAGACATTTCCGTTACATATTAAGTAGTTTTGTAGAAATGCCTGAAGGACAATGTATGACTTCATTGTTTTATTGTTACGCTTAGGATGCCCTCAGATGTCCTCTGTCTTACGGTCCAGGAGTTTTCATCGTGGCTATTTTTAGGCATGTTGATCAGCAAGACCAGACAGACATTGGGGCGTATGAGCGTAAATTGAAGCTTCCGTGTGCGCGTCATTACTGGCTCCTGGCGACATTCTTTCAACAAAACTTCCTGACAGCGGCGTTACGTTACATACTGACGCATCTCCAGTTATATCCTATAGGAGTTGCCTGCGACATTCCTGATAAACGATACACCTTCTGGGAACATCATGTGAGTCGACCTTACACCTTCATACTACCACTAATCCCTTGACCCCATCCTTGTCAGCTACATAGTTTGCAACACTCTTATATGTAGGAAGCACGCTTTGAATTAGGATCATCCGGACACCAGTTAAAGTACCTAAGACTTGGCTCACATTTTCCTGGGGGACTGGTATGAACCTGGAGGAGGAGGAGGAGGGAGACCTTGAACTTGGAGAGATGCTCACCACCACCCACCACTCAGACCCCCTCCCTCCCCTCCACCTCCCTGACATAATGGTTTTACATACTTCTCGCACACTGACTCTGCCGGTGTCGTCTCTTCTCACTCAGTGACGTTCCCGTCCCCGTCTGTCGCTGGTATTCACTGTCTCCTGTCTCTGTCTATCTCACTGTCTGTTATTTTCAATCTCCTTGTTCTCCTGTCTCCTGACGCTCAGACCATCTTGTCATCTGTCTCTCCTCATCAACCATATTCAAACGCCCTTGTCTCAAAAGTCTTGGGAGTGACCTGCGTCTCTCCCTCATCAGTACTATCTCTCTTTATCACACTCTGCCTCTCTTATTGTCTATTAGGTGTTATCTTCAAGCGTTATCACACTGTTTGTCTCCTTTCCTTCTCTTACCCCCTCCTTGTTCCTTGTGGTATTTTCACTTTGTCTCTGTACGTGTGCGTCATGCATGTTTGTTTCTGTCATATTGGCTGTGCAAACAATGGCCGAATCTAGTCTCTGTCTTCGTGTTCTTCCTGCATTGTCTTTTCTGTGCCGTCTCTTTTTCACCCCTGTCCCCCCATCCTGCTTTTTCACACCGTCAGGCCACACTCTCACACCGACACTCCACACCGTCATTAACACTCTCACACCGTCACTGACACTCTCCACCGTCGCTACACTCACTACGACATCTCCACACACCGTCACTGACACTCTCACACCGTCACTGACACTCTCACACCGTCACTGACACTCACACACCGTCACTGATGACACACCGTCACTGACACTTCTCACACCGTCACTGACACTCTCACACCGTCACTACACTCACACACCGTCACTGACACTCACACACCGTCACCACACCTCACACGTCACACCGACACTTCACACCGTCACTGACACTTTCACACACCGTCACCCGACACTCTCACACCGTCACTGACCCACTCTCACACCGTCACTGACACTCTCACACCGTCACGACACTCTACACCGTCACTGACACTCACGCACCGTAACTGACACCACACACCGTCATCACACTACACCGTCACGAGACTTCACACCGTCACTGACATCTCACACCGTCACTGACACTCACACACCGTCACTGACACTTTCACACCGTCACTGACACTCTCCACCGTCACTGACACTCACGCACCGTAACTGACACTCCACACACCGTCACTGACACTCTCCACACCGTCACTGACACTCTCACACACCGTCACCCTGACACTCTCACACCGTCACACTGACACTCCGCACCGTCACTGACCTCTCACACCGTCACTGACACCTCTCACACCGTCACCGACACTCCGCACCATAACTACACTCCACACACCGTCACTGACCTCTCACACCGTCACTGACACTCTCACACCGTCACTGACACTCTCACACCGTCACTGACACTCACACACCGTCACTGACACTCTCACACCGTCACACACACTCACACCATCACTGAAACCTCACACACCGTCACTGCACTCTCACACCGTCACTGACACTCTCACACCGTCACTGACACTCTCACTCCATACTGACACTCCCCACAAATCCAGCCTCCACCGTCACACAACACTCTCCACCGTCACTGACACTCTCACACCATCACTGACACTCACACATCATCACTGACACTCACACCGTCACTGACACTCTCACACCGTATCCTGACCTCACACCAATCACACAGCACTCACACACCGTCACTGACACTCTCACACCGTCACAGCACTCTCACACCGTCACTGACACTCTCACACCGTTACTGACCTCTCCACACCGTCACCAACACTCTCCACACCATCACTGACACTCACACCGTCACTGACACTCTCACACCGTCACCGACACTACTACCACCACGACCACCTACTACTACTACCCATCACTACTACTAGCACACCAACACACTACCCACCACCATACGACTACTACCACCATACCACCCACTTCTACCACTACCACCACCATCACTACCACACTACCACCACCAA